TCTCTCAAGAGAAGATCTCTACGATGCTATCATGAGCACAAGAAGAAAGAATCATTTATTTCAGTAGTCTAATCACACTTTTAAAATCGGACACATTTCTGAGACGTGCAACAGCTGGTGGGTCAAGACTCGGGAATGACAGAGTGGAATTTTGTATGCATAACGACAGTTCTAACATATTTTAAAGCCGTAAGCAATTTGCGCACCATGACCAAAAACAATGGCTGTTTCCAAAAAGGGTTCACAGACAGTCATATGGACCAAGGCATAGCTGGAAATTCTGTATTTCCATTCATCTCAATGGCAGTTGATCAAAGCATGCGACTTTCTTGCTGTCATCTTTGCTAACAGGCACTTTGTGTTGGAAAAAAAAAAGTGTAACCATGCTGTGAATGCCATATGACTAATCACTTTGGATCCACAGGAAATTACATCATGACAATGCTGATTAAATATTATTTTAGTATTATTTATATACTATTAACAGTGTTTATTAATATTTTGAATTAGCTGTTTTCATTTTAAATGATGTGCTTTTGTCATTTTATTGATTTTTTGAATACATTTTAATTAATTTTATATTTATCTATACTAATAGTTTAGATTAAGGTCCAATTCTCACTATTAACTCTAGCATGCATTTATTATTAGTTCTTATAAATCGCATGATTCTGCATCTCTTAATCCTACCCACCTAAACTTAACAATTACCTTACTAATAAGCAATACTTCAGGGTTTATTGAGGCAAAAGTCATAGTTAATAGTTCATTGTGAGAATTGGACCTGCATGTGTGGCCCTAATTTTCATTAAGTTATGTGTATGTTTAATTTATCATCTAATCATTTTACTCAAGCTTTATTTCAGTTAACGTATACAGTTTTTAATAGTTTTAGATATCAATACCAACATAGTAGAAATGTAAATATCAAATCAAATAATATACATAAATAAAAATATCACAATTTAAAGAGTAAAAAAAAAGGACATGCAGTGGGCTTAAATAGAATGATCAAATTATTATTTGCTCTATTAGACTGAACAGATACATTTTTGCAATTAATAACCAAATATTTTAAAAGCAAGAGTATCTGTTTACATCTGATACTCTTAAACAGTATTAGTCAGCATGCGATGGTGATGTTTTCTGAATAATGCCAAGCAAGACCACGATTTCTCCTGCATCTTTCACTCCGACGTCTAAATTATATAACAAAGGCAAATGTCCCCGGATCATGACGAATTAAATGGCGGCTGTGAAATTGCCAGGCATTAGCAGCTGTAAGTGGAAGATCGAGTGTCGCACAAGGCAGTAGAGGAGAGAGATTGTGAATCACCATGTCCCCTTCCTTAAAACACCACCTGAAGAAACTTCCTGGACCAATTATGCTGTTTTAATGATTCATCTAACCCTTAAAAAAGGCCTATGACCAATATGACATTTTCCTAAGGCTTAACATACATTTATGGTTTTCCTGCAAGCCATTAAGGTCAAGTCACCTTTATTTATATTCCGCTTTGATTGTTTCAAAGCCAGTTTTTATTGGTTTAAAGACGAATCTGTTCATCCAAGGAGAATCTCGAATGAATATTCCAGTACATTCCTCGGCTCAAATCTCATCTGCACTTAACTTCCAATAGACAGTGAATGGTAAAAATTAGCATAAGAGAAACAGGAAAAGGAGGATCAAAACTTAGCAACCCAAGGGAAATTTTTTTTTACTGCTTACCGCCTATCACTACACAACTTTGATGATTAATTATGAATTTATATCTCAGCGCATCAACAAAACTGTCAGATTATGTTCTGCACCTCATATTTCAACAGTTAATTGCTTATTTAGAGAACTTATAATTGCACAAAAAGTTTGAAGTTAAGCTGGAAGGAGACTAAATAAGAAACGATCTTTATAAATCCCTCAGAAGGACATGCAGTTAACAAGCTGTTTCTGGATTTCAAATGCGAGTACTATCAATCATCTTCTTCTCTTGTTTAAAGGGACACTATGACTCTATAACAGACCTTAACCCGTCAATCGCTCTGTCAGACCAGGACGTTTCCACTTGAGTACTCACTCACCACTCAATCGCTTAGCCTTCATGACTTTAACACACTTCCCGGTCAGTATCAATAAAAATCAACACACAACGTCTGGAAAGATGTAAACGGCAAACGTAATGAACCCTAGCCCATTCAGCCCAGATCCTGCAATGCTCAGACGTCAGTAAATCAAAGGCAATTAAAAATCACGAGGCATCTAAAAGCTCAGTAGAGTGTTTAATTAAACTAGAGACGAGCAAATCCAGGGTAATTGTCATGGGGTCTGCAAATCAGGCATAATAAGACCCCTTAAAAAGCACAATGCCATACTTTTTAGCAGTTTATGACACCCCCGTGGTTTAATTAGCTGATGTGGATGGAAATTATATCATTTAGATAATTGTAATACTTTTTGTCTAACCCCCAGACGTTTGGTCCTGGAACTGAGGAAGTCAGCTACACCTGCCTGCTTCAAATATAATTATAAAGCAGACTTGAAGAGCAAGAATTGATGTCAAGTTATATGTTTCAGTAGCCTGGATGCCAGCCCGAACTCCGCCCACAACGTTTTTTGGTCGGGAAGTTCGGTCTGGACTCGATCCATTGAGGAGTAATTATGATCAGGCCAATCAGATTGTCAGGGTGGGCTTTATATGATGATGGACAGATGATCTGCAGGGACGAAATCATCACGTTATCAAAGAGCGCTTGTCAAAGATGACTGCAGCTGGAGAATTGAGATGTATAGATTCCGCTGTCGCGTCTTTTGTAAAATAAATCGACTGCGCATTCATTTTAATAGACAAACAGAGAACTGCAATCAAGGCATTTGTCGATCGGAAAGATATTTTTGCCGTCCTTCCTACATGATTCGGGAAAAGTGTAACTTATCAGCTGGCTCTGGCGGTCGTTAAGAAGATGGGACGTAATGAAGCCTGTGGTCGTTGTGGTTTCTCCGTTGGTGTGACTCATGGAGAAGTAAGTAAAAGAAGCAACACTCGTTATTTAACTTCTAAAATAAATAAAGTTAGGCTACGTTCTGTATTTGAAAACTGCGCTATGCAAAGGAGTTGACTTACTGCGTTGCTCTGATTGGTTGTAGGTCTACCGACTATCCAATTGAGTGCAGAGGGTTTTTTTTTTCCTGGTTCGGTTACGACACGCCTGAACGGAGGAGTTTCAGACTCATATTCTCTCTTGAATATGAGTATGACGAAGTCAGGCTAATATTTCAGACCTTTCTGACTTAAAATATACAGTATATTTGTTATAAATAATATTTTTGCCATTTTTGTGGAAATAGTATTTTTTTAAGGATTATTTCATGAATAAAAAGCTCAAAATGAACAGCAATAATTCAATGCCATTCAAAAACAATGTCTTGACTGTATTAGATCAATATAATGCGTATCTGAATAAAATAATTACTTTCTTACAGACCCCTAACCTGCATTTAATATTAGTTTTCACATTCCACTTGGCATAAATAGTCCAGACTAACCAATATGTATCATTGAAATAAAATGTTCTACCTGATATTTATTTATTCTGTACCACAGGTGCTCTTCCTGCATCAAACTGCCAGTCAGAATGACTTCTTCTGCCTCACTGAAAGGCTTCTGGCTGCTGCTTTTCCAGAAATAGTTATTCTGTGAAACAAGTGCATGGAACCAGAAAACCACACTTCTTGGGGATTTTAACTATTAACTGACAAGTTGGCACACCATCACAGACATAGGTTTAATTAAAATTATATATATTTTTAACCAATACGTGTTGCTGGTGTTGTCTTCTCTGAAGGTGGTTTGCAACAGTAGTTTCCTACACAAGATGACAACTTAGTCTTAGAGGAACAGTTTTGGCATGATTTACTCAGTCGTGTTAAACACAAAAAAATAATGGATTATGTTTGTGATACATTTGCATTTTTTTTTCATGCTATTTGAAGCTTGACAGCTCCAGTTTCCATTCATTGTAGCTGCATAATAAAGAGCGACCAGCACAGCACATCATTAAAATGACCCTTTAGAATAACATGAATAAAAGTGGATGACATGAGGGTGAGAAATAATGGCAGAATATTCGTTTTGGGATAAACTTTAAAACCTCCTCTTCAAGCTATACCAGAAAAGTCATCCTAAGTGACATGGTAGGTGAAACAGACCTTAGATACAGACCTCATCACCAATTCTCAGCCAACATGTGCTCGCAAACATCTTTGGTTTTACCTAATGAACATATTTATCACATGCAGTTTGGAAAATTTATGAGCAAAACTTATATCTTTCTTCTACAGCTGTATAATTCAGTGGTATATTTTACATATTTGAGGCATCACATGATAGTATTCTCAAATTCTAACCTGATCGGAACCAGTCACCCTTGAGAAAACAGTGGATTTTATAATGCATTCTCTATGACACATCGCCATCTTGTGGTGTAGGATACCTTCATAAAAATGAAAGAAAATGTAAATATTAATTACTTATCAATGCGTGTAAAATTAGGCGTACAATAAAATACACTAAGCTTAATTCAACCTTCAGAAAACTTTACCTTTCTTGCGTAATGTGTGGTTTTTGTGATGTTGGTTCAGACAGGCCTAAAACCATAGTGGCATGTAAGATCAATTAATACAAGCTATGATGAATAGATTACACTTAAAAAGATTAATTGACTAATATTACAGAATGTCAAATGCCATCTAAACATAGTTCAAGACAGTGATGCCTCAAAACATGGTAGAGGAGAGGTCTTTCTCCACATGTAGCCTATGTGTAGAATATTTTTAACTACTACAAGCACACTATTTTAAAGACAGTTAGAGCAGTTTAGGATGTATTTAAAAACGTATAGGACCCAGGTCTTCTTTCGGGTAAATCATTCAAGTTTAAAACGCCACACATTGCAATTCAATAGGAACGATAAATAGGAAGGAACCTTCCGCCGATCATCATGTTTCTGTGGGGAAGATAAACGGTGTGTGGAACGGCCGGCTACAAACAACAGCAAAGAGAAGTCCGCATACACGCTGACGAGAACATTATGCTTATTTTCGTCAGTATTTGGTACGTTTATAAATCAATATTAAGTTATAATTGCAACAACGTTAACTTGACATGCTGGTTCTGTAACGGGCTATAAAAACAGTCCACCAGTGTTCGGTTAATAAAACACCAAAAAATGCAAATTAGTGCATCTGATTATAATTATTATTTCTTTCAAAAATCCGGCTAGATGTCTGTCTCAGTCGTTCATCCATAATGTAAACACGAGACGTGAAATGTGTTTTGTGAGTGGGCACAACCGTTGTCTCTGGCACTATCAACACGAGCTCGATATCACGTCACGTTTCATCATCTTTACTTCTTATTTCAGATTAATATGAGTAAAGAATCACAAATGAGGGCCGCCATAAACCAGAAGTTAATTGAAATGGGTGAGAGGGAGAGGTAAGTGCCTAAAATCCATCATGTTTCTCCATGGAATAATACTTAGCAAGTTGCGTAACGTTACTTGTACAACGTTTTGGGGCATCAATAGTGATTTGCCTTCCTGGACGCACATTCCTTGAGTTTATGAAATCATTTCATTTCACGTAGTCATTTCTGAAATGTTTTAGACATTTTACTCCACTGTATTTGGTTTGGCTACAAATTACTCTTTGTGAGTACTCACAAACGGGAAATGTCATGGAAGTTCATTGGTTGAAAGCTGTGGGGACCATGTAGACACCATCGTTGAAATGCTTTCTAGGTAGAGAACTCACTACGTTTTTGCATTTCATTTATGAATCACATTGTCTTTGCTTTGGTTTTTGATCAGGTTAAAGGAGTTGCTTCGAGCCAAGCTCATCGAGTGCGGCTGGAGAGATCAGCTCAAAGCCCTCTGCAAAGGTAGGAACGCTAGTCTGATCTCTCTCAAATCATTGCATATGTTCTATTGGTTTTTTTAAAGCTGCATCATTGTTGTTTTGCAGAGGTGATCAAGGAGAAAGGTATAGAGAATGTTACAGTCGAGGACTTGGTTGCTGGAGTTACCCCTAAAGGAAGAGGTAGGCTGTAACTTAATGAACATTTTCCGATAATTTACTCACTCTCAAGCCAATTTAGGTGTATATAACTATCTTTTTTCAGACAAACACAGAGTTATATTAAAAAATATTCTGGCTCTTCTGAGCTTTATGATTGGAGTGATTAGAATGGGATTTCATTTAGTCAGGGGCAGGGCTAAAAAAAAAGGTTTTACCCTCGTTCATTTCCAAAAACGTGGCCGTTTTAAAGGCTGAAGTATGTGAGGTTTGTCTTTGTATAATTTTGTCAACTTTATTTGAACTTGTACATGTTGGTAGATAAATTGCAAGACACTCTTTTAAAATCTGGCCATCATTTTTAATGTTATTATTTTAATGTTTATGTATAAACAAAGTGCATATTGATGCAAATTTTATTTGTTGGTTAATGCCTTGTGTAAGTCTTAAAATGTCTTAAATAAGACTTAGTTAATCTTTCTTACAAAAACACATTGCTTTGCATCAGAAGGCCTTTATTATTAACCCCTGTATGGATTACTTTTATGATGGATGAATGCGCTTTTTGGAGCTTCACTCTTTTCACTGCCATTATAAAGCTTGGACGAGCCAGGATATTTTTTTAATATAACTCTGTTTGTGTTTGGCTGAAAGAAGAAAGTCATACACACCTAGGATGGCTTGAGGTTAAGTAAATTATAGGATAATTTCTGGGTGAACTAACCCATGTAACTACTACATTACATTTTTTTTATTTTTTTTATTGAGACCATTTGGGTGTTAACATGCATCGCCAAAGATAAAAAATGAAGATCGTTATTAATATATCTTGTGTTCATCAGCCCTGGTGCCTGACAGTGTAAAGAAGGAGCTGCTGCAGAGAATAAGAGCCTTCCTCGCCCAGCACTCGACATGATGCTCAGTATATCTGAAAATACTGTCAGAGTATCTGTCATTTTTATATTGACATTATGCCAATAGCAACGCCAGAGTGCTATAAGTTAAACCATTTCATGGTGTGATTTCACTCTTCATTGTGTATTTTGTTACTGCCAATAAAGGTTGATCATGTTTGTACATAAACAGTATTATTTTGAACAGCTTGAATGACTGAACCTGTCAACAGTCACCCCCCTTTTTGACCATAGATCTGAACTTAAATGGTTGTAATTCAAAAGAATTTATACAGCTCATTTTGACTCAATAATTGCTAAGAAATCAAAGCCATGTCTAAGTTGTATTCCAGATTTTAAGTCGATATCACAAAAATGGAGCCTGCTAAAAGGTTTTAAATACTCTTTTCATGGTAATACAATGTCCAAATTTAAAGTTCCACAAGAAGAATTTTGATTTGAATCGTTCCTAATTTAAGGAAATGGGGCAATAAGTAAAGAGTACCAACCCCTGGTTTCAGTCAGGGCTTTTAGATTAAGCCAGGTTTGGGACTTAGTTAAATTAGGGTATTTTATATTAATTATCTTTTATAAATGTGCCTTGAAAAAAAGAAAAAAAAACATTACTGCTGTGCATCTTGATACAAAATAGCACAGATACATTGTAAGGTATGCCAGTGCAAGTTGCTTGAAGTTAAGACAGCTCAAATATGCATAGTCTGGGACTAGTTTAAGCCTTCTCAATGAAACCGGACACAAGTGTCCTGCTCCCTGGACAGTGACAGTTAACAGGCTATGTATTTACCTCATTAGCTCTTCTCCAGAAGTTACAGTCTAAGTGTACAGAAACCCTTATTCTGCTGTGCTTTTACCAACACACCACTGCCCTCTTCAGGGCAAGCCTAGCCTAATACCTAGGCCATACCTAATGTTACACCTCTAATTATATCCATCATCTATAGGTTTTTTTTTTTTTTTTAAATATGTATTTTCCTAGCCTGCTGCACAAGACAATAACTATCTTTACCAATGTTAAAGTAGGCCTATTACGATATTGTGGTGGAGTATTTGGCACATATTAGTATGCATTGAGCTGCTTTTTTTCCTGATATATTTGTCTAAATATCTGTGCAAGTAAAAGTATACCAACTATAACCACAACCCAAACCTAATACTGATCCCAACTTATGCACACCTAATTCCAAAATCATTTAATGCTAGTTTGAATCTGTTTTGTTTGAATTTCAAGTCCTGTTTTAGGCATCAACATAATTTAGACTAATATCAAAACCAAATCCTTCTAGTTTTATTGGTCTATTGAAACTAGACTCTATATCCCAATCAAAAATGTATTTATAGTTCAATTAAGTTAAAGATTCTGCCATGCCATTAAAAAGAAAAATATACATGTTATAATAGTATAATGAGAACTAAAACCTCTTAACATTAACTGAAGAGAACAGTCTGGAAATCTCAAAATTTTTGATAAAAAGATTTAAAATGATGAATTGCATAACCCTGATTTTGAAATGTCACAGAGCACACTAACCACAAAAGAAAATTTAAAAAGAGCAATGTAATAATTTTAGTTGTAATAAAATCAAGAAAAGACATATCATACAGATTTTCTAGAGCATAGCTTTTTAGCTTTCTCTGGGTGTATGCTAAAATCGAATTTATGAGACATTCCGCTCTTGTGGAGCTACAGTCTACATCTGCAAGGGTGTGCATCTCGCTCTCTCTGAGAATGAGTAAGGACAAAATTGGCAGAGGTCTGCCTCAGGTCTGAGAAGGTTTAAATGCATTTACACCCTGTTGTGCCTCCAGGGAACTGTTTTCCACCAGCTAATGAGACTCTAGAGCAAGGTTCACTCTGTTATTTCTGGCATGCGCCTGCCGGTCAAACAGGCATCATTCTTTCTCTCTCCTTCCCACTCTCTCGTTCCCTTTTCTTCTCTCAGTAGCCCACTGCAAATTACATATGAGGAAATACATCATCCCTTTTAATTTAAGTGCCAAGCCGAGGTCCGCCAAAGATAACACGAGGCAATCTTATGTATAATGATCAGCGAACATGTCTAAAGTTTCATTGAGCGTGACTTCACATTTCTCCCGTTTATCCCATGATGGCAACATTTTGGCAGCTATGGAAAGAATGTTGTGGAAGTTCAGATTTATCTGCAGATATTACAATCAGAAACAGTTGTAATTGAAGTTGGACCGTAGAAACATTTTCATTACTTGAAATAAAAGAAGCCTTAACTCAAATCTTTAAAATATATATTTAAAAAATATATCGTTTTAAAGTCTTCTTTATTGTGACGTATATATCCGAGTGAAACTTCTCAGACAAGAAAAAAGTGTGGGGCAGGACTTGATTTTGTCTATCAGGAATTGATTGAATGATTGTGGTTTGCTATTGGTCGATCTCATGTGATTGACGGGCACGTCATCAGAGAAGAGATGTGGCTGTAAGAGGGTCAGGAAGTTATTTTGCGGGCATGAATTTTAGAAAAAATAATGTGCACAGATAATTATTGCAATATTGGGCCTTCTTCTCAATTGCTAATTACTAAAAAGTACTTTTCGCATACGTACAGGTGTCACCGTCGCCTTAAAATGAAACTTCAGTCATGATTTACTCACCCTCATACTCGTTCTTTCTTCTGTGCAACAAATGTCTCAGGTTTGTTTGTTTCGGACCCCATTTACTTTCACTGCATGTACAAAAACAGAAAAAAAGGCTGGTTTGGAATGACATGAGGGTGAGTAAATGATAACATAAAGTTCATTTTTGGGTGAACTGTCCCTTTACTTAAACAGGTGGCAAATTGAGCCGTCATCTAAAACCTTTTACTGAGCAATACCTACAGCATAGCAGTGATCAGCTGCTTTCAGAGGACAGTAAACACAAAGCAGACATTGTTTATACTGTTTTGAATGCAAGGCCACTTATTGTCTTGGCCTAATTTGCCGTTCCCCCCTTTGAAGTGCGCTACACATTTATATTTCCTGACTCTAAAGCCTCAACTGCGGGTTTTTATCCACCACCGCTGCAATTGGAGAGCGGGTTTCCATGTGTGGCTCTCCCGGGCCCTCCTCTTCTGATAGGAAACACAAGCAGAGAGCATTTCTCTGGCGGACGGGGCTACAGAGAGGCCCCCGAGCGGGCCAGACACCGCTGCAGGGGCTTCTGGCACACCCTGGCAGCAGAATGGTTTCAGTTAAGAATTTCAGTAATCACTTTTAGGAGCGTAATATATAGCTGACCTTTGGCAGCGACACACGACCCCCACTCCCCCGGCGATTTGATCAAAGGAGGCGGCGGTGGCTGTGCAAACAGTGCTATCAGTGAACTCCAATGGATTTACTGCCTGCTTCTTCTCTCTTGTCTCGGCCCGAGCTGTGTTGCTGATACACGGAGGGAGAAGGGTTTCGTCTTACAGGATCTCGCCCTCCCCGCTTGAATTTACAGCCCCGATCGGGACCCCACCAACGACACCCCAGCCATCCCGAGTCGTCCGCCTCTCTCATCAACCCCAGCGGTTTCCTTGTGGGAACTTGGAACACACATGTGCTGTTGCACGGGCCACAGACTTAATGCTAGGTTAAAGAGGAAGAATCCCGACAGGAAAAGAGAGAAAGAACAAGAACGAGAGAGTGGGAAAAAGAACGGCCGTTAATCATGTCTTGAAGAGTCCCGCTGCAGGAGGGAGGGAGAGTGCATGACCTGTGTATCGCAGCAACTGGCCAGCTTAGATCTGGCGTGGAACCAGGTGTTATGCAAACCACTCGAAACAAAAATAACTTTATTTACCACACAGACGAGAGACGAACGGGGACGTATGACTCAGAAAGCCATGGTCATATCCACCTGTGTTTACGGAAGTGCATCAAAGATGCACTTACAGTTTCAAGTGCAAAATTACCCCGCATTTTGTTTGCTTTTGAAATGGGTCATGACGTGCCAAATCAAGTTTGCCTTGATCTTTTGACACGTAAGAGGTCTAGCCCTATTCAGACGGGAGTACGTAGTTTTCCAGGGGGACGCTAGAGAAATTAGTGTCTCACAGATGTACTTTGTGATTTTAATCCCATCTGAATCTGCCAAGTCTGTTTTTCTCACGCAACCTTTGTAAAAAATTCCAGAGCAAATTACCTACTGTTTTTTGGAAAACTCAACGGCCGTCCTAGAAATCTAACCCTGTCTGGATGCAAATGTCTGTGATCGCCAACCCGGTCTCACCCCAAGACGTCATATAACTGACGTTTTGGGACGTCTTTTGACCATACGTCAATATTCGCCTTTTTAGGGCCCCCTTAAACGTCGGTAGATGAGATTATGGGATCCTAACTCTACCCCAGACCTAAACCTAACCCTAAACCTAACCCGTCACCTAACTGACGTTAAAGGTAAAGCGTCAGTTGTATGATGGCCCGGGATCGCCATCTACCGACGTTTAAGGGGGCCCTAAAAAGGCGGATATTGACGTAGGGTCAAAATACGTCCCAAAACGTCAGTTATATGACTTTTTGGGATGAGACTGTGTTATGATCGCTGATGTTGTATTATCCTATCGCTTTAGTGTGGACATGCTGTCCTTTATTTTCAATATGGATGGTATCCATCGAAAAAATTATATTATAAAATTAATAAATAGATCCAAATCGCGGAAACTATGAAGACTGGACATTTTATCATCAGTGTCAGATAAGAGTAAGATACCTCTCTAGATTTCTCTGCTCACTTATGCAAGTTTATTATAAACAGACAGTGTTATAAACTCATGACAGATGACCAGTGAAAATAATTGTTACTCAAAAAGTCCTCCTCATTATAAACAAAGCATTTATTTAAGCAAGCTCCAAAAATGGATAGTTTGGATTTGCGACATCACATGGGCATTGACTTCCTCCAGAGCAAGACATCGACATTTAGTTTTACATCATCACATCATAGGCCCCGCCTACTGGCATTCAGTTGCTTAATGGCTGACATTTGTCACTGCATGCGGGCAAATAAAATGCAAAGAGAAAGCAAACAGAATCCATTAACCACTGATGCTGTCTACACTGGTTACAGTATGCAGATGCTTGTTCAGTTTCTCAAACAATCAACGCACAAAAGGGCAAATGGAAGTGAAAGAAATTTTGCTTTGATGCATCCAGTTTAAACATGTCATTTGCAACTCTGTACAGACATCAGAAGGATCCCAGCGTCGGAAACAAGTGGATGGTTTATTTTAATGGCTTTCCGGATCTCGTCCGTTGATTATGTTTGTTCGGAGCATTTTATTTTGAGAGTTTGCAAATAAACTTTTGTTGAAAGATTAAGCAGCCAACTTTATTTGGATCTGACAGCAGCTGCATCACAAACCGTAAGTAAAATGCTTTGTCTGTAAATGATGGTTTTCTGCATATATATTTGTTTTTTAAACTTTATAAACATTTTAAGTAAGCCTCAGTGAACATATTATAATAATTTAAAAAATCCATCTCATGGCCCCAAAACCTCTTTAATGGATACACATTACAAAACTACAGTGTAAGGACAAATTATTTACATAACTTTGTCAATAACAGCATCCAACAATGGTTACTTTTTTGACTATCTTAATTTTAATTTTTTAATTTTTATTTTTTCCACTTAACTATATCAGTGCATCTCAGTCTAAGGCCCCCCACTCAATTTTTTACCAAGTAAAATATTTTAGAGCTTAGCATAACTAGAAATATTTGCAACAAAAAATAACCAAATACTAAGAAATAATTGATTTTAGATGTTTTGGCTTATTTTAAATAGTCTGAAGTCATCTTGAGGCCCCTTTGGAACTTTTTTGAGGCCACCTATTGGACCCCGGCCCCTGGTTGAGAACCAATGAACTATGTCTCTTTTAATGAAAATGTGTGATAAGTTGAACCAACCTTAATGTGGGTAAAGATGCACCTACTGGTCAGTAGTGACGTTCACCTGTGCAAAAGAAATAAAACATAAGTAAAACACCACCAAATTAGATACAATATCTTATACAAAAATGCATATTCCAAACATAGGGTCTGGAAAAATCCCAGACACAAAAATGACTGATTTACATTAATAAATATCAAAAAGTTTGCATGATATGTGAAACAATATAAATAACACAACATTTTAACTGAGTGTAAAAAAAAACAAAAAAACATAGCAATGCAGAACTGAAAGTGCACATGATTTTATAGACTTGATAGGACTATACCATATGCCTCAGTTACTGTAGGTTAAGATGAATATAAACAAGATATAATGACTCAAATTGACCTCAATCAAATAACTGATATGCCTACTAAATACATAGTTAATGTAATTTCTCACTTTTGAAAATGTATTGTTGGATTTTGAGCATGTGTTCAGATCACGAAAGATATGGTATGAGAGGGCTAATTATCAGTCATCTTATCACTGACACTCTTATCAAAGCCATTAAGTCTGCTACCAAAGTCTGCTACCAAGTGAAGTTACAGTATTTCATTGCATCTAATATTAATGCACATGTAAGGCTAAAGTTAGAGATCAAAAACTTTAATTCCGCTCCATTTCCATTCTGTGAACCATTTCTAATAACTTGTACAGTATACATGAATACATTTTAAGAAAATTAAAATACACGATTTTTTATCTTTTCTGTCAGTTTCTTATCTTGGCACAGCAGCAGCTCTTAAAACACACTGGATTGTCTGTTGAATTGCACTATAAATATTCCAGTGGGCAAAACATGAGCACCCTAGTCAGAAACACAACCATGAAAGGAAAGAGTAAAACCACTGTCTTATTTTAACTCAGCTTTAGTTTGGTGATAAAAAAAACAACAAAATGTGGCAATCCAAAAATAAGTACAATTCTTCTTATGTGGAAAAAATGTTTTTCTTCAGAGATTTTATAAGTTGTGGTCATTTTCAGATGCCTTTGCGCCATCTGTTGTCTTTAAATTCCACACTCGCAACAGAGCAATAATGCAGATCAGCCACCTGGTGGCGTGGCAACACCAGACTCTTCCTGGATCGAGTGTTACCAATAGGCCAAACCCCGCTAACAACAAAAGTACAACCAAAGATGGAGACTAAAGCAGTTGGCATTGATAATAAAGCGATGGGCCAATAATGGACTTAACCGGTAAGATGATTCAAACCCAAACTGAGTATGTTTGCACGCTTGGAAAATATCCCCAGGTGGGCCATTTAATAACCCTCGGTATAATAGGATGAATGATACAGATACATAAAACCACCCATTCCTCGGGTCATGCTTGTTTATTGGTTGACATGACCGGGAGTGTTTATTTGACTCATTTCATTACAATGTGCACAGTGTCATTAAAAGTCCACAGGATGTCCTGTGTTTTTATGAGCTTCTTGGGCAAAATGGGGGAAAAAAGGGAACTGCTTCCTGATTCTACCACGAGAGAGTAACCACCTAAGGTTATGACCATCCTGAAAAACAGCAGGAAAAAAGAAACAAAGTAGCTTTAGCGTTGATTCACTTTCCTTCCCAGAGGACACATCTAAAAAGCAACAACAGAAAAGAAACTAACATGCCTTTCTTTGTTGACCAGAAGCTGTAAAAGCACACATCTTTCTAATGAAGCTAATCCTCTGTAATGATGCTAAGGTCAGAGTAATTTTTAGCTGGCTTTTATTTATTCCAAAGAAGAAGGTGCATCACAGCATTCCTGCCGGTAAGGCAGAATTGTTTCCTGCTTGTCTTTCCTGTGTCAGCCTTGCTGATAAGCAGTGGTGTTTGGTTGGTAAACTAGAGTCAAGGTGCCTGCAATAAAGAGCTTACGAAAGTGTGAAGGTTTTACAGCTTCGCATGAGGTCATCAGAGCCATGCTATCGGAAAAAAACATGCAACATTGTTACGGTAACACTGCAGGAACACAGCTTGTTTGGTACGCAGGTGCCAGGCGTGCGGTAAGAGTGATTCACCTTGCTCTTCCATGAACTCTTATGGCTTAATTAGTCTATTCAACTTCACAGCTGTGAAAGAGCTCGCCCCTTGCCAAGAAAAACAATAAAGCAATTACACATATGATGCATCATGTGCAGCGCACAGAAAAAGCAGCTCTAGAAATCCAACTCAATTCAGTTCTGTTGACCTGGTTTATAGGCCCGATGCATCCATCGGCACTTTAGCCGACATCTGGATGACGTCAATTAAAGCGCAATTGTGGAGTAAAGTTGTAAAGTCGAAAGTGCACGATAAATAAAGTTACTAGTCTCCCAAAATAAAGAATCAACTATGAACCGCATAAACGAGTCGTTTGTAATTCGAATCCCACAGCATAACGGTTCTACGTCACTAGAGAATACATTTGCATTACGCCCGCCTATGTTGTCCACCCGCAAACAACTGTCTCGCCCTCAAACGTAAAATTTCAACGAGTTCAACTTTGGATTTGCAAAACGCTTGCTCTTGAAAGATGGGTCCGTACTAAATTTATTTTCGACCAACTTGCTCCTCAGAATCACAACCTGTAAGTATGTTTAATTATTGATGTATATTTTCTACCGGGTGTTCAAAACACATAGTTTTTGTGTTTTATAATGTGTTAAGTTTCCGGCTAGCCAGCTTACTCACGTTATGACTGTCTCACGAAATAGCTCTGCAAATCATCTGTGGGCCACTATTAGCTAAAACTATCTATCAAAGCAGATTGTCTGTCATTCTTACTACTTTTAGTAAAGATAAAAGATTTGTTTAGCAAAATTTAAAGTTACGTCAGTGAATTACGTTAGAGCTGGGCTAACGTATGCACCGTTATTGATACAGTTCCCACATCTGCACAGCAATACATTAGAAATATGAACATTGGCTTGTTGACAGACGTACACTTGATAATGCTGATGGTGAGGAATTACAGTTGCAACATCTCATAATGTACCTCAAATTGAGAAGCGCATCACTGAGAAACGTCCTGCTCGAGTCGCGGTTCAGGTTAAATAACTAGTTCTCCCAATGTTTCATTATCGGACGCGCTCGAATTGATATGGTAAAATGAATGCCATGATTACTGTCTTTACAGTGTGTACAATCACTGAGCTTTAGGAAGCCTCCTGAGCTGAAGTTTACGGTAACTGCCGTTTTGTTTCCGATGTGTGCTATAGACCTTATGCACCAGAGAAACGTGGGCGCTGTCATCTTTAGAATATCGTCTTTGAACTTCCGTTTTTGCTGTAGCTCTGTATATTTCTATGGCATCGCTGTCGAGGAGTCAGTAGCTGGTGAAATGGATATTTATTGTAGAGTTAACAAAAGTTATCATGAGCATTGTAATGTTTGAAGTCTTAACAAATGCCGACCGGGAATTTTTTTGACGAGCAGTTCATTCATACCTATGCAAGACCGCTGTGAATATACAGACCGGAAGTCAAAAGACAACGAGCGCAACGCTGAAAAGGGGCGGGGCTACATAAGGTCTATAAGTGATAACAGATTGGGCAATCTGGCCAATCAGAGCAGAGTATACTCGCAGAAAGAAGGGATTAAGAGAGACTGATGTAAACCTGTTGTAGGAGACCTCCAAAACAAAAGCAGGAACCTTAAAAATAGCATAATGGGGCACTTTAAGAGTGTATAGGGCTAATGGTAGAGTTCGCTCCAACCTTGATACCACCAGAGTTGTGGTTAACGCTGGGATCAGCTGAGACTCATGAGGCCGGCCAGAGCATGCTCCCCGCAACCCAGAAGAGCTGAGCCGCCCGCCAGCCCCCACTTAGCCCACATTCCAGGTTTATTCCCAAAGCTTCAGCCTCACTGATGAGGGCAACATGCAGTACTGTAACTTCAAGGTCATATGTCAACAAATGAGCATTGAATATGCTTCACATTTCCACCCTGCCTATAGATCACCGGTCTAACTCACAGAAATTCACATACACCTGATATCGAAGTGCACACAAGCTCACGCACAAGCAAAGCACACGCCCTTTTCCCCCAGACCGCCATCGGAGTGATCCAAACACAGCTGTCAAAACTCCACCACTTCCAGTGCAGCAGAGGTGAGACAGGCGGGGTGAGTAGAAAAGGGGAGCACGCACACCATGCACACATCAGCCCAGCGCTATGTCATGGACAACATTTGAAATGACTCCCTAGGACCTCGCTGCAGGCCTGGGACCCACCTTGCCGGGGCCTCTCTCCCCACCAACCAGTCACGATCAGCGGCCCGGGGTCCAGCTCCACCCTGCTCGGCTCACATATGTTGCTGTGCACTGCTGAATCCACATACATCTCCTAAACTGCATACTCTAAACTTCTGCAATCAAACGGCAAAATTGCATTTGTGAAAATGTATATGGGTGTTTCTCCAACTATGGTCACTTTTGGCCCTGAGGGCTTAAAGAAAATAAACCCACTTAAAACAGACTTTTCACACACTCATTGGTTTAATCTGTCTGCTAACAATATTCAACAGTTATCCAGGAGAATTCTGTCAGTTTGACCATTTGTTTTTGAAACATACTGTACATTAACACTTTCACATTGCCATTTTAATATAATCTCAAATTATGCATTTTAATAGCATCCTGTCATGGAAAATGACAGCTGTGGAAACAAAACTGGCACTTTTATGTATCTTAAATACACAGTTGCACCAAGTCATTTTTCAAAAGTGATATTTACTTGATGTTTCTATTCTGTTTCAAAGCCCATAATCTTTTGTCTCCTTAGTAATCAGGTACACTAAATTCTGAGGGGAAAAACTAACTTTGATAGAGGGAAAAACTTTTTTTTGTTTGTTGTGGTGGGGCAATTAATATTAAAATGATTCATGTTTTTAGTGAGAGCTAGAATATCCTACTGTAGCTAAACATGTAATAATTCAGAATAATGGAATATAATGAATTTAAAATGCATTACTGGTTACAGTATTTGATATTCATAAAACACAAATGTTTCTTTTAAAAATAAATAACTTCTGGGACAACACCCAA